TTTGCGCATAAATGCTTCACTTCTATGCTGTACATAGTAATCCGCTCAATTTATTTTCACAGCCTGTACTATATTCCTTCGGGTTTATGCCCTCCTGCAATTCATTTATTTTGTGAACCGTACTTATAAACATTATGCATCATCTTAGTTATGCACTTAGCAACATGAACAAAGTAATTTTGGTAATGATAACTACTCATAGCTATTGGTTATGTACTAACTTCTCTGTAATTTTATAAGTTCTCACAGGGTAGAAACTTCCTTTGTTTTATCTCATTCTAACGTACTACTTCCAAGTTGCACCACTTTTCCTCGCATTGATTTCGCACAAGCTTTTGTAGTACCTTTACACCGATTTTGAAATCTTAACCTTCTTTCCCATTTTCTTCTGTTGTTTTTTTTACCCTGCTCCTTATCATACGCTGGTATAATGATTGCCTTTAACATGACTGCTAGGTTCTGTTGAAGCGGAGGAAGGGAGCATTGGTCTAATATGAAAGTTAGACATAATGAGTCACCTTCTTGCTACGACAGCCTCGGCGCCAGAGGTTTACCATCAAACCTCCACATAAGTAAGCTTGTAATAGTGCGGAATAAAAAAAAAGAATGAATCGATACAATAAAAAAAATACCAAAAAAAAAGATTAATAAAAATATGAAAGACAAAAAAAAAAAAAAAAAAAACAACATCAGACCGCAGAAGCTTACAACCACACAAGGCACCAGCGTCATTTCTTATCATATTCCGTCTTACTTCACTAATCATGTACATACCACTTCCAACTTACCTTAATTTTTTTTCTTTTCTTTTGCTTTCTTTCCTTTCGGTAAAATTTCTTTTTTTACTATTGCTATTTTCAAACCTTCTCATTCACTCATTGCTATTGTGCCAAGCCATCCTACTGTTGTATATCGAAGCTTGCTGGCTTCCCACCAACCTTCTAGGGGGGGATAACCTGTAGTGCACATTGTACCTTTGAACTTTTGTTTAAACTGACTCACCCACGGTGATCCACGTTTTACCTTTTGAGTTGTGAGTCTTCCGTACGTTCATTGGTTCGCTCTCTTGTTGTGCTCTCTTTTTGCACACTCTCCGAGCCTACCTCCAGCAACGTCTGCAGATAAGTTGTACAGTCACTTTATTTATTAAATCTGTTATTCAGTTACGTTAAATACAACTCATACTAAGAATTCTTTCCATTGTTAGCTTTTAAACTTTGATTGAGTTAATCAGTACTTACACGTTAGGTAGAGTACTGGTAAGGTCATAAGACGGTGAAGTTTTTAGTAAGTGTGGTGATATCGAAGACTATCTTAAGTCTAGCTTCAACAATAACAGTGGTATTGTGAATGTGTTAAACTGGTAGGGGAGATTGTGACTGTGCGTGGGTATATAGGGAGGAGTTGATTTGTCAGAGGTCATTCGTGGTGGGTTGTTGGGTATGGAGGATGTCGGAGGATTGTGTGCAGAGTGATGTGATGATGAGTTGTTGAGTGTTAGTGGTGGGTATGTTTGCTTTTGTGTTGTGAGGGATGAAAAGCGGAGTGCGTCGGCCGGGAATCGAACCCGGACCGCCCGCGTGGCAGGCGAGCATTCTACCATTGAACCACCGACGCCCACAACTCAGCCAACCAATCACTAACACACTACTCCAAAATACATCATACGATCAACAAAATATCACAACTAAACTACATTAACAAACACAAGCATTGCAACAACTAACACTGGAAACAATACAACGACCACCACAACGGAAACAAACTAAGAAGAAAATCCACTGCAACAACACATCAATCAGCCGACATCACATATCATTCATAGCACCCCATTCGGAAAGCTAGACAAAACACATACACACACACAAATATATATATATACATATACATGTGTATGTATGTATTACCCTCACACCATTCATCACCCCGTCGGAGAGTTCTCTCGTCAACATGGTCAAAGTAGGTGGAAACGTGGGTGAAAGCTTGGCTGAAGTGGAGAATAGTGGGAAATTCGCTGGTTGAGGTCGTGGGGAGAAATATGTAGGAGTGGGTGACAATGTCGTGAGAATGGGAAGAAGTGGATATTTTATGCTGCATTTCAGCCACTTCTTGATCACGCCTCATCCGAATAAAATTGACACATTTCCCAAATTCACCCATGTGCATTTTTAAACAGAGACTCTCTTGCTGATTTTTTTGTTTTCTCTGATTTTTTTTGTGTGGTTTATTTTGATGGTGATTTATTTCTTTTTCTGGGATAATTTTTTATTTATTTATTTTTTCTCTATTTTTTTGTCCTGTTTTTCTAATGAGCCCTTTTTAATATTTTGTTTTATATTTGTCTTTTTCTTTGAAGTAGATCGGGTTTTTGCATCTTTTTTTTTGTTTTGGTTTTTATCTCCTGACTGATGCCTATTTCGTGGATTTTTTAGTTTTCTTTTTTATTAATCCTGCTTGATATTTCTTTCTTTTGTACCTTTGGCCGCAGAATTTTTCATGCCTTGTTATACAGTATTGTTTTAGACGTATTCAATTTTCCACTGCCTATTCTTACGTTAAAGCATGTGTGTTTCTCTTTGACAATTATAAGCAGGTCTGTATAATCTGTATACTGACGACCGAATATGGTTGCTGCCTTAAGTTCCTACGGGTAATCTCGATCTTATAATGGAATGTGATGTAGACTTTTTTCTGGAATGGAATAAACCATAAGCTTCGAAGCTAACTAACCTTTGCACATTATATGAACTATGAACAAAATTTGGACGAACAGTTACATAATAATTGGGGGCACAGTGAGAAGTAGACAGAAGTAAAAATTATAGTTTTAAAATCTCAGAGAAATTGAAATTAGTAATTACAACGTTTCGTTCACCAATCTGGTTCGAACTTCTTCAGGGAAATTAAGTGAAATTGAAAATAACTATTTATGTAAAAAGGATATCTCTTGCCTTTAAATACGTTATCCGATCATATTAGTCAAGTTATAGGCATCGAAATATAATAAACGAAATTGCATGAACTGTGATCAGAATTTGACCTCAGACTGACAAATATTACAGGATCTCATCATGATTTGATATCGGCTAGAGAACCAGTGGAAAACCTGGGAGTGCTGGATAACAGTTTTATGATTAAAAATTTGACCTCAGGCTCACAGAATATTAGTCTACTTTTGTTAAACACTATAAAGGGTATGCACTTTTTCATCGGAATTTTAGTGATTACTTTCGACTGAAGTTCATTGACGTAGATAACTGAGTATATATATATATATATATATGCGGTATAAAATGGTGTGTATGTGCGCCAACAACTGTAAGTAATAATAATTTGTTAGCCTCTCTGCAAGAAGATATAGACAGTCGGGAATTTAGATCAAGCAGGATTGATTAGTGATACATATCCATTTTTATTTATTCACCAGGAATTACCACGAATCAGCGAACATCACACCTTCATGTCTCTTCAAACTTTGGCTTCTGCAGCCAGTCTTTCTTTATACGAACCAAAACCTTTCTGTAGAAACTTAGTCCCATCAAAGTCAATCTTGTGTTCCGTTCCTATCTAGTGTGGTGCAATTGCCGATCTGTTTTCCAGCTTCTTAACGTCCGCAGAGGTCTTTGGAACCATCTTTATACATTGTTTATGCTTCTTCCCTCTTATATTTACATATCCAGCGTCAAAATACCCCCACTGTTCTATCCCAAGTCTTAGCGACTTGCCCTACCTATTCAGGTAGGTAGTTACCTGAGTTCTAGTGAGAAGTCGTAATCAGTGGGATATAGCAGATCGGGTTTGAGTACAAATTCTCGTCGATGACATTGGCTAGTGGTCGCGTTATATCGTGAAGTAACAGAAGTTTGAATTCATGGTTCACTGGACCAGGTTCCAGTGACTTAATGTTCTGAGAACTCGCCTCGCAAATACAAGGTCTTGAGTTAGGACCCGGGTGGGTGCGCACTGATGGAGAGTTCCAAGTTGGGACGAAACCGTTATCCAGTACTCCCAGGTTTTCCACTGGTTCTCTAGCCGATATCAAATCATGATGAGATCCTGTAATATTTGTCAGTCTGAGGTCAAATTTTGATCACAGTTCATGCAATTTCGTTTATTATATTTCGATGCCTATAACTTGACTAATATGATCGGATAACGTATTTAAAGGCAAGAGATATCCTTTTTATATAAATAGTTATTTTCAATTTCACTTAATTTCCCTGAAGAAGTTCGAACCAGATTGGTGAACGAAACGTTGTAATTACTAATTTCAATTTCTCTGCGACTTTACAGGTGTGATTTTTACATAATCTTTACACTAGTTTGAAAGTTCCAAGCGATGTCCGTTTTCAGCTAGTGTATCCATCACTAATTTATTCTCATCATGTATTGCACAGGTTGTACAGACACACTTTCCGTAAAATTAAGACCTCCCTTTGTCTGTAGAGTAACAACCTTTTATTACCCTTGGCCTATCCTGGCAACCGTTATCTGATTATATTACCGAAAGCAGTGTGAACTATTATCCTCCTTATTCTTAAATCTCTTATCAATTTTAGAAGTTAATTGGTGGATGTTTACTAGAAGTGGATTGCAGGATGCGAATTTCGTCCTATCTGGGACTCGTCGGCCGCACGCACCGGCATTCCTCAGTGAGTGATGATATTCCCACGGAGACTCAAACCCGTCGATTGATTGAACCAAAGTACTCGATCTGAGGTTAACAAGTCGGCTTCTTGTGCAGATGCTTCGACGATGTCTGGGCATGCAATTACAAGTTAGTTGAATAGGACCAGTCGTTAAGACTTGGGTTAGAACATTTGGGGTATTGTGACGCCCAATATGTATGATAAACTTCTAGATAGGTAAATATGAGGGAACGACCGTAAACAATTTATTTATTTTAATTGGTACTTGATTTTTCATATAAATTGATTGGACAAGTGAATATGCTGTTCGATATATACTACTCAAACACATCATATTTTTCAGATAATATTCGTCTTCTGATAACACTGTCTAAATTTGTTCATTTTTATTTTCTACCATGTGAACACAACTTTAAAAAAAGCGAAACAGTTAGGAAAGGTTTACTTTTTTCTTTTTAAGCAACCGTATCATTTATGTCTTTCCATCATAATCTTTATACATTTTGTACTATATATCCTCTATGTCTGAATAATTTGGCGGTTCAGATGCTTCTAGAAATAAACCATTCGGTTCCAATGTCCTGTGCCAAACATACGGGGAATTGTCCACCTCTTCTGTAATTATACAGCATTTAGTACATTTTATATTCTTAAAATTGAAGCAAATATATTTTCGTTTCAGTAATTTTCTTAAGTACTTTGTATTACTTCTAATATTATTCTGTACATCACTTGCATATGATGGTGGATTTTCATATTTACAATATTTTTCACCCTGATTTACTTCACTGTCAGTGGAATACGTCGGTGGACTTATCGGTAAACTTGACTCTGATAGTTGAGTAGATCGAGGAATTACTGGTGATGTGGTGTGTATTACTGTCATAGATCTTATCTTCCGTCTTTTTCTGCATTGTTTCATCCAATAGCAACAAAACAGTATGAAACATGGTGTGAATATAATGAACCATACTGTTAGACATATTAGAATACTATTCATATATTCATTGAATTCAATATATCTCCTAACTTCAGTTTGTTTCTGCTATTTTCAACCTACACATACTTAATTCATGATTAACTTATAATTTCTCACTACAGACACACTATATTTGTGGTAAGTATTGATTTTAATTTTGAATTCTATTAAGTAATGGTCACATGAATATGAAGTGTTGAATAATGACAATAATAGGAATATATGTATTATATCTCAATAGGCAGTTAAACAACTGATATGCTTATATAATGTCTGATAAATCAAGTGAACTTTTTGTATTCAATGGTATTGAAGCCTATTGGGCAATTGCTCGTACACTACAAATCAGAGGAGAGTATAAACGTGCATTATACTACTTACAGTTAGTATGTTATAATATGAATGGAATAATTCTATTTTACATTAAGGCTTTAGATGAAGATAATCAACATATAAAATCGTATTTATTGAGAGCTTACTGTTATATGCAATTATTTGAATTAGACAAGGCTTTGTCTGATGTACAAACTGTACTACAATTTGAAAAGAGAAATCCTCATGTTTGTATTCATATTTTTAACTGATTTAATATATATAATACTATACTATTTAAGGCAATATTATTACTTGGTGAAATATACTATCTACGTGGTGATTTTGAAGAAGCTTTAACATCTTTTCATCAAGGTCGTATATTAAGACCAACTATTGAATACTTTTTAACTGGTGTACACAAGTGTGAAGATGCTATAAAGAATTCTTGTACATGTAAGCTTGCAACAATCATTCATTCTAAAATAGTAATAACGGTGCTATTATCAATAATAATAATAATAATATTGATACACGGTTTTGAATATTTCAGCTGGAAGGTTGAAACTTTCACCTCGATTGGATTTAACCGAATTTTATTTAAAGGCATTCCCGGTGAGTTATGCAACACTCCTTGTTGTTGTCAAATAAGTATACAGTTAAACTCATATTTTTTTTCACATAATTTGAAAAAATGGAGAACAAATGACTGACCAGAAAAGTTAAGTGTGCATTTTAATATAATCTGACTTCGTGTTCTTAAATAAAATAATTTTCAGGACAAATTATAAGGATGTCAGTGACATAATTTTTATATAGCATAAATCTAGATAGTTGGAGGCAATCGGCCACAGGAAGCCTTGGACCTAGGTTTCGTGCTAGTTGGCACTCACCAGTCAGCAAGGCGTATCTGTAACCTTGAAGGAACTCATGTCGCTTCTGAGATTCGAACCCGCGTCAGCCAGCGGGGCTGCATTCAGAGACGTTACCACTGAGCTATTTGGGCCCGTAGATGACCTCCTGTAGGACTGTAGTGGGTGGTTTGAAAGAAAGAAAGGACTAGACACGTCACACTAGTTACTAGTGTCTAATCAAATAGCATAAATCTGTCAGTTATTGGTTTCAAAACACCGTTTTTCAAACTAGAAATAGATTAATCTGCTAAAAGGAGGTTGTAGCTATCCTGTCTCGTTGTTTGTAGATCCTAGAGCCCAAAAGGAAGTGCTCTCCCACCCCCCACCCCCAATCCACAATAATTCTGAGTTCACTCATTGTATGGAATATTTAAACATAAACTGGAAAGCGTTTTACTGGTGTAACAGTAGCTGTCTGTTTCTATGCGAATATATGGATGAAGATAACTTGAGTATCTGTCTATCGATCTTGTGCCCAAAACAACTGTCAATGACATTCACATCCGATATACAGTTCCCCATCGACAACGATATTTACAAAAAACAACAACATGGAATTGCTATGATTCTATTCATGGTCAGATTTGGGTAGATTTTTTGATGTCTAGTCTGCCCAAAACGTTATTTTGAAGCGAATTACCGAATGATTTCGGATGTATAAAATGAACTGTTTTCAAAGCATCTGGACTTTTAGAATTCTAGCTGCAATGTCGATATCATACTCTTTAGACGTGAATATAACCAATTTGTTGTTACTAATACAAAAGTTAGATATAATAACTATTGATGTTAGATGTTAATAGTTGACCAAATTAATCTAGATTTCATTATGGATGGTGCAGATTACTAAGGTTTGTTTAAAACCTTAAATAAAATGATGTTGTTTAAGCCACTTGGACATGTTTCCCTTAGTGATCGAGTCATAGATAGACGGAACCGATGTAAAAACTGATTAGTTACCAATTAGTAACAACTGTGAGTGACTTGTCACAAGATTACGACCCGCAAAGTTAGTAACCATATAGAAATCGAGTTTTAAAATAACCTTTTTTTAATAGGTAATATAATTTCATACATTTTGCTGGATGATTTGAATACATTGAAATAATCGAGTGCTAAATGTACTAAATTCGGGATTCTGTATGTTCCAATGGCTTAGCAGCATGTCTTTTACTATCAGCCAAAGTTAACATGAGGTTTTAAATGGAGTTTCCTTTAATTGTTTGATGATAACCAGGCGTGGAATCGGAAAGGCAAGTTCCATTCCATTTAGGACTTGTCAGCTAAATGTATCTGCTCCTTAGCGAGTGAATTCGTTCCCATTGAGACGAAAACCAATCGCCCATAGCTTCAAGCGCCAAGATTTGTCCACTAGGCAACAGAGCCATGACAGCCATCACCCACTCGGGACCAGGTATACCCAGATGATAAGTTCCAAACAAGACGAAGTGAACCTGCTTGCTGCATCCCATTACTAGCCACGACCAAACAAGTGATTCTGAGTTAATTATGCTGAGGCATCCGTTCAAGGAACCCATATGACAATATGTAGCCGATCAACTTGGTCTGTATGTATCAACGGAAAATTATAAGTATGAATAAACAATTTTATGTGTATGATTCTCTTTCGCTATCGTAGTTATTTGTATATAAGTGAAAGAATAAGGTGCAGTTAACCCATTTGTGATCTAACATTTTTATTCTTTTCAGTAAAATTGATATAGATTTCGTCACGAATTAACACCATTTAAGAAACCAGGACAAATTGGTCATCGATTCCCTCATAACTTGCATCTCTTCAAGAGCGTACACTTAAGACTGTATAAAGGATCGAATTTAAGATCTTTAAGTTATGGAGCGAACATGTTTGCTATTCATTCGTTGGTCCAGAACTCACTGACCTAAGAAACTGATTAACTGTGACACTACACTCTGAACTAACAGAATTTAGAATAAATGAAGAACATGCCTTCTTAGTATTTCATTTTACACACGTAGAGTAGCATGTTTAAATAACAGGCCTCTGATGAATAATCCAACTGTGGCTAGTTAACATTATACCTACTTCTACTTACACTTGTGAAAAAAAATGTTCTAAGAATTGATTATGACCACTAGAGAGGCTTGACGAGGATATCAAAGCAAGCATCGGGAAGGCAAGACAAGCTTTCATTACTCTCGAGTCTGTGTGGAGGTCAACAGCACTCACCATCAAAAATAAGATCCGGATTTTCAACTCCAATGTGAGGTCACTGCTATTTGCTATACGGATCAGAGACTTGGCTCGCCATAAAGAGCACCTCAAACAAACTACAGACATTCATCAACAGTCGTCTTCGCTCAATACTTCACTCAAGGTCAGATGGCCGGCCAGAAAAGATCATCAATAGGGATCTATGGAAATGAGCGAACCAACCAGGAACCAACTGTGCAACAAACATGCAGGAAGAAATGGAGATGGATTGGCCATACTCTGAGGAAACCATAAAGAGACATCACTAGATAGGCCATAGCTCGAGTGGAACCCGAAAGGGAAGTGGCGAATTGGTTTTCAGTGCAAGGGTGACTTGGAGGAGGTTATGTGAAGAAGAGATGAAAGCATGTGGGCAGACTTGAGCCAGGTGAAAACCTTGGCAGAGAACCGAACACAATGGAGACTTGGGCGGCTGAAGCCCTATGTTCCTGTAGGAATTAAAGGAAATAATAATAAATAATATATAATAATAATACTAGAGAGGCTGAAACGTTTCGTCCACTTTCCTATACAAGTCGTCTCCATTCAAAAAAGTAGTGATAATCAAATTATTCAGATATAACATACAGCCCACTGATTTCTTTTTCTGTAGCCATCGAAACGAGATCACAGAAAAACAAGAGTAGTTCGTAAAATTGTGAAAAAAGATGATGATATTCTTACCTGGCCTGTTCCACAACCAAAAATAATCAGAGACAAATTAATGAAACAAACATATCCTCATTATAGTTATCTGGAATCTCTTTTCAAAGAAGAAGGTAAGTTAAAAATTGGATTATAAATTAAAATAAAATACACTTTAAATATTGTCCCACATAATAAGCGTGATTAAATGACTTTGAAATTCCCTGATTTTTATTTTTATTCCGATAAAAAGTGAATTAAACATTCAACTATAATCGGTATCATTCTTTAGGAATCTAATGCATAATACATGAATTTGAAAAGTTCGCATCAGACTGACTGCAATATTGAATTATACAGATTTCAACTCGAAATAATCGAGAAGATTTTATAGCTCAGGTGGATGATTTGGAATTAGTTATATTTTCTGAGTTGGTTGGTTTAATTGTGAAGCTTTTGTCGTCCTTTTGGACAACATCCCCCTTGAGCGCAAGTGTTAGCTAAAACAGACGAATTCCATCGAAAATTTCTGGAGTCATTTGAAAAAGAGGATTAGAGCAGTGAATACGTTATGAAACAGCATGATATACAATCGTCTGAATGAATTTAGCTAAAACTTTCGCTGAAGATGTTGTCCAGAAGGAGGTTGAAAGCTTCGCAATTAAACCAATCAACTCAGAGAACACAATTTACTCCAGACTTCAACTCATTATTGATTTCTAACCATAAGGCTGAATACAAACGTCCCGAACATGTTTCACGATTCTTACTTGATGGCTTTTGATGGATTAAAACAGTATATATATATATATATATTTACTTTAGAGCTACAGTATTCATTTAAGTAAATTTTTCGAGGTACACTTAAGGCTCTATGACAGATAGACAGATACACCCAAGTTTATCACTTCGGTATAAGATGGTTGGTGGCAATCGGCGGGCAGCCTTGGACCTAGGTTTTGTGCTAGTTGGCACTGATTAGCAAGGTCATCATGGGATGACGAGCCAACTAGCATGGTGGCCATATTGCAAACTTGACTGATAGAATTCAGTCTGCACCAAAGATAAGACTAGAGATAAACACACATACTAGTTACTGACTAGTGTCTAGTGAAAAAGTCTGTCACTCTATATTATCTAGATTAAAGGCAAATGACATGATAATCGTCAGTCTTTCATTTTTTATATCATGTACATTTAGCTAAGATGTCACAGCAGTTTATGAAAACGAAATACATTGTTGTGAAGTATATCTCTTCTTAAAAGACGGCCGTTACTCTAGGTTACAAATTGTTTAAAGTTGAGGTATAATGAGCTTCAGGTTCCAGATGAGAAATTTAAGAATCCTGGATTTGATTCTATATTTGACAGGGAGGGGGATTCAAACTTCTGAAAAGTTTCAAACTGTGAGTAAAACCATCTTTAAACTCTACGTAGTCTCTATTACTGCTGCAACATCATGACAAAAAAGTTGCCTTTAAAACCAATTGTAGGTCATTCAGTCTTTTCTAGTCGACTATTTCCTTGTCTTTATATAATTTGAAGCAGTTTAAATGATATATAGATGTAATAACTGAATACTATAATCATCCGGATCAAACTGCTCTTGCTACATCAAACCACTAAAGAAAAATAAAGTTAATGCACTCGAAAAGCCCATTTAATGAACCACTTTTGAAACCACTGGCTACTGCATAAAATCAGCTTATTGAACAACAATAGGTGATTTGTTTCTAAGATTGGCTTTAACTACCCATTTATAAAATGTTTACAAATTTTACTAAATTCGAACAAATGTGGATAAATAAAGGTAGTCGCGAAGATTGAGCAATGGTAACTTATTCGAAGGAAAAATGGCACTACTTTTGTCTATGAACAGGGCATAAGAAAAAGCCAAAGATTATCACTTACTTCTTTGCGGTGAAATTCAGTGTCCTCTTGAGTTTTTTGGTTCTTTAAGAAGTATCAGCTTTGTCAAAGATGAATTACCACCCGCTAGACAGATTTCCGAATTCTTGATTTCGATTAAGAATTCCAAGTGTCGTTTACTTATGGGAAGACATGTAAGTGGGTTATCATGTTTTGTACTGATTGCTTCGATGTAAATAAATGATTATTAGTTGGAGGATTTCACCATAAGCTGACATAGGTTAGAGAGCCATTGGAAAACCCGGGAGTACCGCCAATTCAGGACATAGTGCGACCACTTGGCAATGTCTTTTTCGATGAGTAACAAAGGATCGAAGGTGAGGATAGTTACTCGTCGAAGAACACATTGTTAAGTAACAGCACTATGTCATGAAATGGCAGAAGTTGGAATTGATCGGTTGTCCATTGGATTGTATCTCAGTAGCTTAATAGTCTGCAAGCTCGCCTTGTAACCAGAAGGTCTTGGGTTCTAACCATAGCTGGTGGGTACTGATGAAGAGTCCCGAACTAGGCTGACAAAACATCTGTCCAGTACTCTCTGCAGGTTTTCTAATGGTTCTCTAACCGATGCCAGCTCAGGATGAAATCCTCCAACCAATCAAAGAATATCCCTACAAACCAATATATGTATAATATGTATATCTGGACAAATGATTTATTAGGTTAACTTGAACTCGCAGTACTTTCTTAGACACCTGACGGCTTAATACAAAGAATTTATGATTCCCCCAGGTAAAATCTGAAATGTTGTGATCTCAGTTTCTCTTCAATAAGTCAATCCATTACAAAGGTGAATAATACTCATCTTTTCTTTTATCTCATATTTTAATTTTTATTACAGAGAGGCGAGAGAACCAATTCGAAAATCAACAACCTGAATTTTTCCGTAAGTTATTCCTAACGTGGTGATAGAACTCACTCACGAATGGTTTGATTTATCACACCTGTAATCAAAGTAAATAACAGAGTCAGATTAATTCAAACAAAATTAAAGATGAGTTCATCTAGGTGATCAATAATCAGCGTTAAACTGACTAATTCCCTTCACATTTTCTACTATCATTTTATAATGTTTATGACGTTATCGTAACAAGGAGTTAAAACTCACAGAAATATCTGTGCGAAATTAGAGGAACTATTCGTTAGTACAGATCTAAAAACCCATGAGAAACAGATGGTTATTTCGAGAAGTGAGTAAAAGATGGAATAATCGATTATTGTGTTGTTCTACGCCACTTAACTTGCTAAATTATATTTAGATGTTTATTGTTGTGAGACATCCATTTATAAGAACAATAAAGTTCAGCGACGAGTTTCTTTTTGTGGGGCGAATTCATTCACTTAGCTGTACAATCGCATTTATATATAGTTATTTTGTGTAGGTGTGTATGTGTACATTAGGACTGTGAAAATGTCATCAAAATGTTTCTAAAATGTAATGAATAATTAGAATTGTGACTTGGGTGTGTGTGTGTGCGACGACTGATAAGTACTGACAAGAGTTGTGTAATATGAAATAGGATGTTAATGGAGATACGTTCAGTATGTCCAAAAAACAAATTATGTAATAGATAGAACGAGTAAATAAAGGGTTTGGTTAAGAAGATGTCACTAAGATGCCATTAAAACATTCAAAAAAGTCCTTATTAACAATGTAGTAGAACTTGGAATTATTATACCCAAGGAGGGGGTGGAGAAGTTTCTCCTGTGTACACAAACCGAGGTTTCCTATTCGGATCGCTACAGCCTCAGCATTGTAAAGTATACGTAAGCTTACCGTTTTTGGGAGGCTTCTTTTGGCTTTGTAGATGACTTTGAATGAATTGTCTTTTGCATATTGAGTGATCAGTGTTGATTATATGTTCAATTATAGCACTTTTTATTGATCCACTGTTGCCTTTTCGTAGCCCAGTTGGATAATACTCTTTGACTCTTTTGCATGAAACATGTATCGAATATCCATTTCCTTTATTTTTATTCTCATTATCAAGTTATAGTACACTTTGTAGGATAACAGTCTGGAGATTCATTGTTGCAGTTAGTTGGTGTGGTTACAGTAAACAATAGCGAACTAAGCGAGCAACTGTCATAATGACTGTAGTCAACCTTAACCAACCAATCAGATGAACCCATGATGAAAATGTGTAATTTTCAATTTATTTTTTGTGGAAATCAAAGTGTAGAAAAATAGTTATACCGTGTTACATTCTCGTATTTGTTCCAAGAACATCTAATCCCTTATTGGAGTCTCCAGTGATGGTCTGAACCATTTTCTGTACATAAATTCATCCAAATGACTGTATATAATACTGTTTCGTGACCTATTCACTGTTTTAATCCTCTTTTTTAAGTGACTCCAGAAACTTTCGATGGGTGTCGTGTACATCCCATCGAAAGGGTCAACAAAGTCATTTGTGCAATTTACTGTATTGTGAATGTAACCTAGAGGGATAGTTGGCTATAAGTACTCCACTAGTCTGTATGTATAGTTGTTCCAGGTAGTACTAAATCTTGGATAATCGGTAATATTGCTTTAGTATTGCGATTAGGTAATACATGCATATATCCCCTCTTCACACTTGTGTCGTATAATCCCAACATCTATGTCTGATTTGTCCTCACTTTCCCACGATTATATTTCCCTTTTGTAAATACATTTTCTGGGACGTGAACAGCTACACTGACACCAACAAGTACACCTGAGTCATACTGTTCATTTTCCATGACGTTATATCTTTACAGTGTTGATACCACTGCACACTGCAGACATCTCTGAGGATTTTCCCTCTCGGCATTTGTTGCTGTTCTGGTCTATTGGTCTTATCAAAACCCACCTGTAGCAAATTATGAGAATTTTTGTTAAAGGCAACTTGAATTTGGCGATAAAAAAGAACACTTACAGCACCCATGAAATCGGACAGATCCTACACAACTAAAGTCTGGACATCTGTACACATATCCATCAGTGGCGACTGCATATCTCAGTATAGACAATACTTCTCTGCATCCACAAGTTTTAACTGCTTCCTATAAGCCCATTACCCCCATAGTACTGAAATACTAAATATGGACAGAATTTGCAATGTAGTTCGTGTAGTCCATCTACATTTAGGAGTATTTAATTGGGGTTTATCCGGCTGGTCGATTAAGGTCATTTTGATGGTCGTTCGCTTGGTTCGATGTAACCGTCAGTGTTGCAGAGATTTTATCTGAACACCGATCCACTCTGGGTAGTGTAAGTATCTAACAATTTTATGCATAGTATACAATTGGTGGATGGTGGCTAGCAGTGGAATCCAGGATGCACATTTCGTCCTATTTGGGACTCGTCAACTGGATGTACCTGCATTTCTCAGTGATTGATGATGTTCCCACCGAGGCTCGAACCCAGTACCCATAGTTTCAAACGCCAAAGCGTTATCCACTAGACCACTTGGGCCACGAGAGCCACCTCTTGTGGTCTAGTGGATAACGCTTTGGCGTTTGAAACTATGGGTACTGGGTTCGAGCCTCAGTGGGAACATCATCACTCACTGAGAAATGCAGGTACATCCAGCTGACTACGAGTCCCAATTAGGACGAAATGCGCATCCTGGATTCCACTGCTAGCCACCATCCACCAATTGTATACTAATCAAATGCCCAGACATCGTTCAAGCATCTGCACAAGAAGCCGACATGTCAACCTGAGACCGAGCACTTCGGTCCAATCAATCGACGGGAAAATCAAAAATTCAATTCAGTTTTATGCATACTTCATTGTGTAGATGTAGAAGACAAGAGATTTGGTAAAGGAATGCTTATTTGCAAGTTGGTATCTCTATACGGCGAAATTATGTCCACCTTGTCTTCTGTGCACCATTTGAATAGATCTTCCGTGTTGTACTAATTCTCACCTTCCTTCATATTGTGTTTATTTATCTTCCTTTCACGTCTCCCATGTTTCTTCACAACGGCAAATCATTTTCTTCCACTGACATCAAATTTATTTCCTGCTATTTGATGTTTTTCTTCCGATGAACGTCTTTTTACATATTACTGATAATACTTATCAGTAATACATACAACAATAGAACAATTATTAATCTTATTGTATATTTCCATTTTTATTTTTCAATAGCTGATCTCTTACCTATACTAAATCGATCCTACGAGAATAAGGTGTCTTCTGTTAACTGTGCAAATTACCTCAATCGTCATACTGACTTATGGTATAAACTTAATCCTCATGTACGCAATTCAAAGAATTATTTGTAAACAAATCGAAGAATGATAATAATAATAATATTTAAGGTTAAAGGATAGAAGAAAGAAAACTAATAACATCAATATTATGCCTAATTACAAACAATCTGGTAAAAATGTGTAAGAATCGATGACAGTTGCAGAATGAAGCTAATTGGCAACGAATTCACAAATGTTTCTTTTGTTTTTAAAATATTATTCCATCTAACGAATGAACACTCAAACAATTTTTGTGTTTTGTTGGCTTTTGAATAAAAGAGAAAAATAAAAGCTAACAACAAATGATTACAGTGAAGACTGTTTTTATTGTCTTTTTAGTTATTTAGTTATTTATTTTATGAGGTTGTTTTTTTTTACCGTAGCATTTTATGTAAAACACAAAAAACTATCAGTGAATGCGTTTCTGAAACTTTACCTTGCATTATGTTTGTAAGCAATTAGCAATGAAGTTTGACAGCTATGTTCCACCTTTTCTGACACCCATTATTTAAACAGCATTCCATTCAAGTAATGAATGGATTTCTAACTGAAGCCTAAACTTAGTATTTATCGATTGAAACAGCATGACTTCTGAGTAATATACAGTTTGACCACTTTGAATTACTCAAGTATTGGTTTGTAGGGATTTGGTTGACTGGTTACAGGATTTCATCATCAGCTGACATCACTTAGGGGACCATTGGAAAACCTGCAGGGAGTACTGGACAGCTATTTCCTCCGTCCTACTTTAGGACTCTTCATCAGTACGCACTTACCCACCACGGTTACAAGGCGACCGAGCTCATAGACCATTAAGCCACTGGGTCCCGATCCGATGGCCAACCCATGAATTCTAACTTCTGCCAATTCACAAAATAGCGCAACTGCTAGCCATTGTCTTTGGCGAGTATTTTTCCTCACACCCTACCTGCTGCACCCTACTGGTCACGATTTCCCACTAGAACTCTAAGTAGCTACGAGCCCACATTGTAACCAAAAGGTCCTGGGTTCGAACCCTGGTGGGTGCGTACTGATGAAGAGTCCCAAACTATGACGAAACAGCTGTCCAGTACTCCCAGGTTTTCCAATGGTTCTCTAACTAATGTCAGCTCATGACGAAATCCTGTAAACCAGTCAAATCCCAACAAACCAGCACTTGAATATCAACAGATTTCAATTTGTGGTTCAAGAATAGTGTAGACTCAGTTATGGATTTATTTCATAGTACTCTTATGTCGATACAGTGTCATAAACCTGTTACTTTGTAATGTATACATTGATTTAAGACAGTAAACTCACTTAAATGAGATCTTATTTTGTAGTTTTTAAACTGTTAGTTTAACAGTTTTACAGAAGTATAAATTTCTGCATAGAAAGAGGAACATTAATATAGACGCTAAATATTAAATATCCAGTTTTTCAGATTGAATTATATAAGTTGACTGTGTTAGGAGAATACTCGCTGAACAGCTACTGAGTAACTCCAGAGTAGAACCAACACCAGGCTATTATTCAATAAACTCACATTTGAGAAGAGTAATACTGTATCGGCAGAAGATAAAAGACTTGGTAACTGAATGTTTATTCGCAAGTTCATATACACATATAGGGAAATGATGTATACGATATCTTGAAATCGTCACTTGCACATGTTGTCCTGCTTCTGCCCGTCATATTGTGTTTCTTTGTCCGAGCTTCCCATGTTTCCCTGCAATACTGGTTCATTTTATCTCATTGACGTCAAATCTATCTCTCCGCTATTTGATATTTTTATGCCGATGAACGTCTCTTCATTTACTCCTACTAAATCTTGTCAGTAGCACGCACCAAAATACTTGAGTGGATGTTATAATATTCCCCTTTCTGCCACAGAAATAGTATTATTCTGATGGGTTTGAGAGTCCATGAAGTGAGTAGTTCAAGAATGTCTTACGTCTGTTCTCACAGAGTTATACACGAAGGTTTTTATGCATTCCTGTGGATATATATTGAATTTCAGACTGGTGTTAGATTATTTTAGAATAAGTAATCTCTTCTACTGGGATTACAAATAAGTGAAAAAAGTCTCCATTGTTTGAGAAAAGGTTTTATGAGATCTTTTGCGTGTAAGTGATACAATGTATTATACGTTTTAATCATACATGATCAACTCTTGTACTGGAAATAACCATTCAGAAGCAGTCAATGAATAAATATGATCTCCGATCAAAATTTGACTTTATAGTTTCACATGCATTGGGTACTGAATGCAAAGTAGACAGATGTAATAATTATTTTCTTTTTTTTACAAAAATCTCAGAAATACAGAAATAAATAATTTCAGAGTTTTATTAGATTCATACCTCTTCGGGGAAACAACCAAAACAAAAAACATTAAATAGCGTATGTAAATGGAAGGTTCCATCTTGTACTCAGAATCCTTGTCCTATCCTGTCTGAGTTATCAATAGCCATCAAAATAAGATGACTATTAGTTTTTTTTTGTCGTGCATTGTGAACAATGATGCGACCGATCAGAAATATCGATGGCTTTTACATAGAAATGACGTTTATTTACAGGATATATGTAGAGATTAATGATAAACACATTGAACAGGATATTTTCCCCAAACATGACTTAAAAGTATCTTCCAGTTATAATGAGAAGTACCAGTTTTTAGGTCACACCAGTTACTGTACATGTAATCATCGCGATGGCCGTAGATGAGTTCTTTTTGTAGCTCATTGATTGCTCTTATCCCGTCTTCCAGTTTTCCCCCCAAAGCCGTTGACTGAATTGTTCCAGTAGGTTCCAATATGGGGATCGACAACTATTTACTAGAGAAATGCAGATAATAAAAACAAAACACCCTAACGCTAATCCCAACCCAGAAACTAACCTTAATCATGCCCGTAACCCTGATCCTTACCCTAATCCCAAGACTAACAGTAAACATAATCCCGGCGAGCTAACAACACACTATCCAAACAGTACTTAAAAACGAAATCGGGATGAAATTTACCTATCAGTTTCTTCATAGTGGGGCTATTATAATGGTGGCTCCCGTTATCTACCGGATAGTACACGTTCAGGGTCACTGGTATGTTTTCACTTCAGGAACGTTAAACTTTACCTTTGCCACATGTTTACGTGTGTACGTTTATATTAATTTTAATAAATATTGGTGAACTATAGGACATAATCTTGGGTTGGAAGACTACTAATGTTGAAGTCTGTGATGAATTAATGTAAAACCAGAATCTGGATAGTGATAGGATTCAAACCAATGACCTAAGAATTACTAGTCTGGTAAGGATTCTGTTGTGACTCAGATTTTAACTTTAACTTCAGTCAACGCTAACTACTTTAACAGCTGTGCTAGAATATTAAGCATGTGTACTTCCTATCCACCTCCCTTTATTAGTGGAGCTATCGGGTCAAATCTTGTTCAGACGTATACAAATTCTTTTATAATCGGATGAATTATAAAGGAAACTCCGTAAATGGTATAATAATAGCGTCCTTAATCACGGTTTCCTGCAACGGCACGTCTGTACTGAATCCCTGATGGTTAAGTCAACTGATAATTCTAATAAATGAAAGCATCTTATCTGGTGATGAAAACTTTTCTACGGGAAAGCAAATAACATTTAGAATCATTTTAAACACGATGAATTCTTATCTCTGTCTGTTTCATCAGAATCAAAATCAATAGTTGAAGGAAGAATTTTTATCTCCAATCGTCAAAAAGGAGACACATCAGAAAGTGTGACACAACGATCCAGGTACATTCAAATTCGCGATGAATAATGAACCCATAAGTGGGATAAGAACAAAGTGGTAGTTAATATCTCTGATGACAGTCTATCACATAGTGAACTATCACACCTTAAAAAACGTTTTAATCTTAAAACTAGTATATAAAAGATTTCAGATTTCGAAATTGTTCCATAGATTGAAGCATCATTAGGACGTCTAGCAACTGGAGTGGTGAATATTACATGATATGCGATTTCGTAAATCAAGATTGTATACCTTCAGGAGAACCAATATCTTCATCAGTGGTCAATCTACTTATCGGCTTGCTAGGACCAAATGCAATAATAATAATTATTATTTCCTTTCACTCCTAGAGGAGCATAAAGCTTCAACCACACATCTCCATTGCGTTCTGTTGTCTGCTAGAGTTTTCACTTGCCTCCAAGTCTGGTCACATGCTTTCATCTCCTCTTCACATGACCTCGTCCATGTCACCCTCTAACTGACGACCAACTCGCCGCTTCCCTTTCGGGTTCCACTTGAGCTATGGCTTGTCTAGTGATGATACTTTATGTTCTCCTCAGCGTATGGCCAGCTAATCCATCTTTATTTCTTCCTGCCCATTTGTTGCACAATCGGTTCCTGGTTGGTTCGCTCCCAAAGATCCCTGTCACTAATGTCTTCTGGCCATCTGATCTTAAGTATTGAGCGAAGATGGCTGTTAATGAAGGTCTGTAGTTTGTTTGAGATGCTATTCATTACGCGTTGGCCAAGTCGCTGATCCGTATAGTATCACTGACTTTTCATTGGAGTTGAAAATCCGGATGTTGTTTTTGATGCAGAGTGCTGTTGACCTCCGCATAGACTTCAGAGTAATGAAAGTTTGTCTTTTTCTACTGAAACAATATTAGGATGGCTAATTCCATCAAGAATATGGCTTAGAAACACAGATAATACAATTATTATAATTAAGTGTACTGTTTGAGAAGAACTTATCCAAATGATGTTGATACAGATACACGTAGATTATCCCTTATGTCCCAACTACAACTAGATCATAAATTAGTTAGAAAATTGGGTTATAACACTGCACACAGATTTATCATCAAAGTGATCGTAAATAGAACTGTAATTAACACAGTCAAGCGTTTGGTTACTAGGGAAGAAAACAAAGCACAGAATTTGGCGGTTAGTTTGGTACACATCGGTGGCACAGTGGTTAGGGCTGTCGCCGACCATGTACATGGTCCGAGGTTCGATCCCTGTCGACACACACCAGATATCTATGGACGGCC